CACATGTACCACCATTGAAAGCCAACAAATATTTATGGTCAGACGGCTTGAACAAAAGGTCATTCAACGAAACGTTGGCTATAGTATAAATATTATCCACAGTTAAGACATAATCATATGCTTGTTTCAACGCAGTGGGAACTTTGCAGTGTATATCAGAATCCTGTTATCATTGATGTCTTTGACATTTTCATAAGGTCTTTCCATTTTGAAGTTGAACGACACTGCAGTTGCGTTCAAAGAGTGTGGATATCGTGTGACTTTCAGAAGTTGGCGGTGGAAAAAGATGGAAGGTGAAGGTTTTGTTGAAGAATAAGGAATATGAAGAGAGAGACGAATTGAGATGAGAGAGAAGAGAGGTTTGCGTGAGAAGCATAAGAGATGTGAGAATACAGGTTTGTTCAGAAAAAGATAGTCTTGGGGAAGGGTGTCAATTGTTCACCCAAAAAATGTATTTTGAATTCAAAATAATATATTTTTTGTAACCATTCAGTCGTACTTGAACCACCAACACATAATAGGTTTCCAATTTGTACACATTTGATCGTAAGTATGTTTGACATAGAACCAATAGTACAATTTGGTTGCAAAAAGTAATTTTTAGATACAAAATATCCCTAATTTGATGAGGTGGAAGACAAAGAGAAAATGTTGTTTTAGTGTTTTCCATAACATCTAATTTTTTTATATTACAAATAGTATTGCTTAGTCGAAAAATAATTAAATTTAAAATAATATAAAAAAATTATTGTATATTTGTCAGATCACATATGTTAAAAAAATATTAAAAAAAGTTTTAAATATGAAATGATCTTAAAATATGAAGATATATAGTAAATAATTGTACTTTGCAGATTTTAAGATATCTATTTAATAATATATTTTTGTAGTTTATATTTAATAATAATAATTTCATTTTATTTATGCATTGATACTTTTTTTTAAACAAACATTTATATATATGGTTTTGCTCACTAATTTAAAAATTTTAAATTTACAATTTTGTTTATAAAAATAGCAGTTGATTGATAAATTAATTGATAATTTATAATTTAGATGATGTTTAATAATATATAACTTATAATTAATGGTTAATAATAGATAGTTAATAGTTGATAAGTTAATTGAAGTATTTGATCAAATTAATAATTTAATTAATTGATAAATATAAAATAATATAATTGTTTGATTTTTTTTTTGCATTTAATATATAATTATTTTATTTTAAATTAAAATAAACTATAAAAGATAAATGTGAATTTTAGTCAAACTAATAAGATAAAAGTGGAAGAAGAAAAAAACTTACAACCTATAAATCAAAACGCCATTTAAAATTACATATGCGAATAAACTATAAAATAATAAAATAAGGTAAAAATTCAAAATATAGCACCCGTGGAAGATAATGTGTTTCCGGGATCATAATATGCTTCCTAGTCAAATCAAACATTTAAAGTCAAATAAATGATAGTCTCTCTGTTTTTTGTCAAAAAGAAAAATGATAGTCTCTCTGTTTATTTTTATTATAAGTAACTTTAACTAAAATAATTGTACCAAAATATATAGGAAAAAAGAACTTGAATGTTTGACAATAGAACAGATAGACAAAACTTAGTGTGAAACTAATGACAAATAGCCTAGCACAAGCAAAAAATTTGGTAGAAATTAAACAATTAATCAAAAGTAAAATTTAAGCAAACTTTCATCCAAAATTCTTTGTTGGCCTGAATCATGGTTAGTCTAATTAAACTAGCTTCTAGATGGCAATCCAATCAACGATGATATTTGGAAGGAAAATAACTCTCCATTAAAACAATACTAATAGTTTTGTATACACTATAATAAAAATATGCATTAGGACTCACTCACCCTTGATCAGCCATTACTTCTCCTTAACGATAAAGAACAGCCAGTGTATATTAACTTTGGTTTGGCTTCATGTACCTCTCACTCTGAGGTCAAAGGTATAAACATTGTTCTTTTCTCTACGGAACTCAATACCTTTAAAAATATCATTATTTTACTATCTATACAACTCATTAAGGAACTACCAAATCAACCTAGCTCAGTTTTTACCCTTCATTCAACAAACTGATAACCCATTTTACCTTTTCAACAATATTCAAATAAGTATTTAAACATGTGTGTATGAGTGTGTCTATATAATTTATATGTATAAATACACCACAATGTACCTGCACTCACAACATTCAAAATAGTAAGCACAACAGAATGGCAAGCTTGGGAGGTTTCGTGTCTGTATTAACCTTTCTTTTATTTGTCTTTGTTGGTTTAATGTCTTCTTCATCTGAAGCTGCTATAAAAAAATATCAGTTTGATGTGAGTTGTATTTTGATGATATTCAACATGCTTAACTTACTAGCTTGCAATGCAAGGTTCCTTTAAATAGCATTTTGTTCTTTCTTACAGGTTCAACTGAAGAATGTGAGTAGGTTGTGCCATGCAAAACCTATTGTGACGGTAAATGGAAGATTCCCGGGGCCAACAGTTTATGCCAGAGAAGGAGATCAAGTGCTTGTTAATGTTACCAACCATGCACAATACAATATGTCGATTCATTGGTAGCGCCCGATTTCGAAAATCAATTAAATAAATATAATTCAAGTTTTATACACTTGCAAATATATATGTTTTTTTCCTGACACAGATGTATGGTTATTATAGGCATGGGCTAAAACAGTATCGTAATGGTTGGGCGGATGGACCGGCTTACATCACACAGTGTCCGATACAGACCGGAAACAGCTATACTTACAAGTTCAACGTTACTGGGCAGAGAGGAACACTATGGTGGCATGCCCATATTCTCTGGCTGAGGGCCACTGTCTATGGTGCAATAGTAATTATGCCTAAACTTGGAACACCATTTCCTTTCCCACAGCCGGCTAGAGAATTTGAAATTCTCCTAGGTAAGCATTATAAAGATTCATAAGCTAAAATATGAAGTATGAAAGTTTATGTACTAATTTTCTGTGCATGCAATAGGTGAATGGTGGAACAATGATGTGGAGGAGATTGAAAAGCAAGGGAACAAAATGGGTTTGCCACCAAATATGTCAGATGCACATACAATCAATGGAAAACCAGGACCGCTATTTCCTTGTTTTGAGAAGCGTAAGTAAAATTAATCAAAGTTTGTTATTATTATGTAAGGGAATGATAATTAACCAGATTTTAGTTACTGGTTTATATATTCTACAACAGAGTGAAATCTTTATTTGAAGTGCAACTAATTTGCTTCAGTTTTTTAGACACGTTTGCAATGGAGGTAGAGCAAGGGAAGACATACCTCATGAGAATCATCAATGCTGCACTCAACGACGAGCTTTTCTTTGCCATTGCGGGTCACAACATGACAGTAGTGGAGGTTGATGCTGTTTATACAAAACCATTCACCACTCAGGCTATACTAATTGCTCCTGGTCAAACCACAAACGTTCTGGTTCATGCCAACCAAGTTGCTGGCAGGTACTTCATGGCCACCAAGGCTTTTATGGATGCTCCAGTTTCAGTTGACAACAAAACTGCTACAGCTATATTTCAATACAAAGACATACCAAACACTGTCCTACCCATCCTTCCACAGTTGCCAGCTACCAATGACACGGGTTTTGTTTTGAATTACAACAAGAAATTGAAGAGTTTGAACTCTGCTAAGTACCCTGCAAATGTTCCTCTCAAAGTTGATAGAAACCTCTTTTACACTATTGGTTTAGGGAAGAATTCTTGCCCTACATGCGTCAATGGAACCCGGTTTCTTGCTTCCATAAACAATGTATCTTTTGTGATGCCTCAAATTGCACTTCTCCAAGCTCACTACTTCGATATCAAGGGTGTTTTCAGTGCTGATTTTCCAGATCATCCTCCAACTCCTTTCAACTATACTAGTGCACCATTAACAGCCAATCTCGCCTCTTTAACAGGCACAAGAGTAAACAAGATTTCCTTCAATTCGACCATGGAGCTAGTTTTGCAGGATACGAATCTCCTCACAGTTGAATCACATCCATTTCATCTTCATGGATATAACTTTTTTGTTGTTGGAACTGGTATTGGTAATTTCGATCCTGCTAAAGACCCTTCTAAATACAATTTGGTGGATCCTGTTGAAAGGAACACAGTTGGAGTTCCTGCAGGTGGTTGGACAGCAATTCGTTTCCGCGCTGACAATCCAGGTACGTCTGAAGTTTTACTAAGCTTCTATGATATTTAACTTTATGGAATGAATTCGGCTATATCATGGCATGATGTTGTTATAAATATGATTGCACAGGTGTTTGGTTCATGCATTGTCATTTGGAGCTGCACACTGGTTGGGGGTTGAAAACAGCTTTCCTTGTTGAAAATGGACCAGAACAAGGTCAATCTGTTCTGCCACCACCAAAGGACCTTCCATCATGCTAGCCGTTGGTTAAAAACTAACCAAAGAAAAATTGAATTAAACAGTATTCAATGTTTTTAATGTGTTTTTGTCTATTCAGCCTCTCCATGTAAAAGTTGCAGAGGGTTTTTACTTAAGAGAAAAAATAAGGAGAAACAATGTAAGGAACTATTTCAAGGATTTCTTGTAATTAATTTCCCAGTAATGATTCTTTATTTCATTGAGTATTAATAATTTACTATATGCTATTAAACTTCTTCAGCAACTTGGACCAATATGTCCTGCAAAATACATCCTGGTAAAGACCAATGAAAAACTAAGATCTTTACTTCAACCGATTATTAATCCTTCCTCTTAGTAACTAGAATAATCCTGTAATGATCAAAATAAACTCAATTTTATTCATGATCAAATGCACTTCATTGTAATATTCTCAACTTTATTCATTATTAACAGTTTTACATTTGTACAAAGGGAGTGCTTGGAATTGTTTCAAGCCTCCACCCTTTAGTTTAAACTTAAAAGGTATACAGCTCTTAAAAGAGACACAGGTTTTCCATTGTACACTCTTACCACTAAGGCTTTTGTTGAAGACAGATCAACCAGCAACAAGAACCAGATTATGATCAAACCCAGACACGGCCTGCAAAATTTGAAAACCTTCTAAGGAATCAAGGTAAAACGGCTCAACTTCATCAACAGAACTCGACAGTCCGAGTCTACCATTTTTACCAGAGCCCCAGACCCACATTTCTCCTTTAGACGTGAGAGCAACTGTATGTGCACGCCCTGCTGAAACCGACACAGGATTCTCTCCAGCCAACGCATGAGTCAAGGCAGGAAGGTTGGCAGGCCCTGGCCTTCCAAGCTGAGAACTCTGGTTCCAACCCCATGAAGCAATGTTTGTTGTCCCCACAGTGTCACTACCATCTGATTCATCGAGCTGGCATATTGCCAAAGAATGACCAAACCCTGCTGCTATAGAAATGGGAGTAAGATTTATCTCAACAGGAAAGAATCCCAAATCTTTTGCAGCTCTCCCCAATTGGCCATACACGTTACTCCCACAACTCAAGAGAGCACCATCACCTGATAAGGGTAAACAATACTTGAGAGTAAGAAGTTGCAAGAAGAATTATCGAGTAAATTACTAATCTAATCCCTAAAATTGTACAGACACTATCAACTTTTGTACCTGAATTGAAGGAAATTTTAAAATGATAATTGAATTTGAAAATCGTATAGTGATAGTGTCCTACAATTTCAGAGACAATATTGATGATTCACTAAAAAATTATGCAATGTAGACTTGTGTTACATACGGCAAAGAACTAAAGAGTGATCAAGGCCACATGCAATATCGACAACTTGAACATTACGCAACTCTTCCACCAAGTGAGGTTCCCATATTATTGGCATGTTATTCTCCTCCTCCATTCCTTGCAAGACTTTCTTTTCAGCAACTTCTATGTCTGAATTCGTGATTTGTGTTTTGTCTGAAAACGCGGTTGCAGAGGAATCTAATGGAGACGACTCCAAGTGACCATTCCCCATATTCCCTATCCTTCCATCCGCATAATAGCCCCACCCAAACAACTTTCCATCCACAGTTAATGCAAGAGCATGCCCCCAACCAAATGAGACCTGTTCAATCAAAGAAAAAGCTTCTTCAACAAGCATTTGAAAAAGATTGTAGTACTGATACTTCATATTTAAGCCAGCGTTTAATAGTAATACATATTAGAATCAAACACCGGATCAACACCAACAAACGAGATTGCATTCAATTACCTCAAATCTCACAAATTATTACCATTGTCAACGCGTGAGTGTCTTGTTGAATAAGCTCTTAATTAAGCAAAAATACCTTTTTTATGTTTTCTCCAGAAAGTGCTTCAACTCTGGAAGGCACAACAGCTTCAATTATATCTTTCCCAAGGCCAAGCTGTCCACGTTTGGATTTCCCCCACACCCAAACAGAACCATCTTCTCCAACCGCAGAAGAAACAACTCCAGATGCAAAAGCATTACACACCTTCACATTCTCTAGTCCCTCTACTCTCTTAGGCTCATTCCATGTTTCCCTGCATTCCAATTCTTAATCGTTTATTACAATTTTTCATTACAAATCAAAGAACACACTAATTAACAAACTATGGTAATTTTTACCTTACCTTGCGGAAAATCCACGACCGAGTTGTGCTTCGTTGTTTCTTCCCCAAGCCCAAAGATGGTGTTCAAAAGTGATTGCAAGAGAGTGGTAGTGACCAGCATGGACGCTAAGAATACCAGAAGGTAAAGAAGGAATTGGGGTAGGTTCGTATGCGTCTACTCCCATACCAACACTGGTTACTGACAATCCTAAAGCTCCATGGCTTCCATCTCCGAAACTCATCACCGTACTCATCCATCTCCGCCGAGCAACAACCGCTCCGCTTTTCGGATTCAGGTTCCTCAATGATACCCGTGATCGCCACATTTCTTTTCACCTACACCGCGGCACTGTCAATGTGTCACGCTTTGTTCTGTTTTCCTGGGCCTCTTCAATGGGCCCTATGGGCTTCCCATTTGTGAAACTTCGACCCGAACAAGAGAAGGTAGTTAAGTGGAACGGGATTTCTGTGTAACATATGCATGACTCTCACATCACTTGTCAAAATACAATAATGAGCATCTCCAGAGGCACTCAAACATATTTAATTCATTTATTTTTAAAATAAATCTCAATTTTATAGTTAAATTTATTTCAAAAATATATTTTCAAAAATATTTCAGAAATGTATTTTCAAAATATATTGCTAACCAATCACAAGATGAAGCATTGCATAATCATCCCAAATTAGATATCCACGATTAAATGAAATTGGATACTCTCTATCTCCACCTGAAAATATAAGATACAACATGAGCTATAAAAACAAAAGAAAGAGATTTTGCTAATTAATTGAAGTCATCATGAGACACATAGGTTAAAGGGGTTTCAGAGACATTTCAAAAATGCATTTTCAAAATAAATTTAATCATGAAATTGGGGCATGGATAAAAAATGAGTGAATTGCTTGTGCGTGAGGTGTATTAAAATAGATTAAGTCTTTTTATTTTCTTTTTTATCCTTATCTTATAGCCCTTACAGGTTATAACTGTCTAGGTTATTTTATAGTTGTGGTTTACGCTATTTAAAGCACATTTCTCCATTTATATATAAATAAATCTTCAGATTTTATTTTAATAATGAAGCTTCTCTTTTTAGAATTTCTCTTTTATTTTGCCAAAAGTTAAAATGGTATCAGAGTCTAGTTCTATTGGAACAAACAAGTCTCCTAACTGCGAAATCAGCTTCAACTCTTATGGATCTAAGTCATAGTTGACACTGTCATAGTGCTTTTACAATTACAAATCCTATAAAATTCAGAAACCTAATTGATAAGTGTAGCGGTGAAAAATTGAGATTAAGCTATTAATTAACTTAACTCATAAAGTGAAAGTCGACATCGAACTTTGTTCCAAAAGGAATGGAAAAAGATTGGATAAAATCCACAAAAGAATAGAGATCAAGGTATGGGGTCGGTGTTGTACCCCAAAATTTGCCCTCCCATTTTTCATAAAAAGCACAACCCTATGGTTTCTCAAATATTCAAGATTGGCTCAGGAATCGATCAGACAGATTTTCTCCTGTGGCAGTAAATCACCAATTAGGGTTTTTCTCGCATTTCTCAGAAGAAATTGAGTTCTCAGAAATTCAATTGATTTTCACATGTCTTCATGCTCTCTCAAATTTACTGAAAAGGCAGTGTTTGTTTGATCCAGGTTAACCAGATAATTTGCGTCTTTTAAAAAAACATTTGTTTGTTTATGGAATAAACATTTGCTTGTTTATGGAATACACAGTGCGTGTTTTGATTGGAATACAGTTGCAAGATTACATGATTATTGGAATTTAAGTTATCTTGATTGAAATGATTGAAATGCAGTTTCAATTATCTTGATCAGGGAATCTTTAAGAATCAGTGAAGACACAAAGAGAGAATTACAAGTTATTAACAGTAATGGATTTTACTGGACATCAGATTATCTCATAGGACTTTCTTCATTTATTTCAAATGTTGTTACAAAAACAATTTATTATTTAAACGTTTTAGGTTTTACAACTTATCGTATTTGAAAAATAAATAAGTACAATTGATTGAATGTTTCTCTAAATTACAAAGAAAAATTTGTGCCTAAGGTTGACTGAGCTTCCATCGCTTCCATGCTTGTCACAAAATCTCTTGCTTCCTCTGCTTTGTCACCATCCAGTTGTGCTCACATGAAAACAAAGGACGGAAAAATAATTAGTACAGTTAATTGGGCATAAGCAAGAATTTTTAAAAGAAAGAAAAATATTCATCATTAAAGTTTGCAACTTGGAATCAGAGGGCTATATTTTTAATTCATCACATTCTTATTTGCAAATCACAAGAAGATTATTCTTCTTGATTCACAAACAAGAGAAATATAGGCAAGCTATCCAAACAATAAATGCAGCCAAACATATTCCAAACAAACAAACAACTAGGCTTTCCAAACAAGGCACAAAACAGGGCCAAACAAGCAGCGCAAATTGTCCAAAGACAAACAGCAGCATGGCCAAAACAAATGTTCCAAACAATGCAGCAAATTAGACAAAGTACAAGCAGTAAGAAGCAAGTAGCATAGCAGTAAGAATGCAGCAGCATGGCAAAGAAAGTACAGCAGTATGGTAAACCAAGCCAACAAGCAAGGGGCTTGTTTCAATATCCTTTTCATCATTTTCCAAGATTTTTGCAAACTTTTCAGAAAAAAAAGGTGAAAAAGCAATTTGCTTTTATCATTGAGAGAGGAGAGAGAGGAAAGAAATCACCTAGGTTGTTGGAATTGCACAAAAGGTACAGCTTTACTATTCTGCCCACAAACTATCACAAGTTACATAGAGTAAGCTGTAAAACAAAAGCAACCAAGATATAACAGTAGAGAAGGCAAAAAGCAAAGGAAGAGGGAGAGAAATCATAAAACTCATAATTTTATCAAAGTCCAAAAGAAAAACTGTCAAAGAATCAAAAACAGTCTCCTCCAAACACAAAACTACCATCAACCTCCCACACTGTAAAAACAGTTTTCAAATCTCAAAAACCATTTTCAAACAAACCTGTAACTCAGTTCAAACACAACAAAACCACAAGAAATCCCAAACCTGTTAACCAATACACCAAGCTTAACCTCAAAAACCATTTTCAAACATAACCTTCAAAATACTGTCAAGCAGTTCAAACGAACAGTCAACAAATACTGTCAAGCAGTTCTCAAATCTCAACAGTCAACAAATCAAAAATAACAAAAACATTAAAAAAAATGAAAATTGTATAACCAGTTTTCAAAACCTGCATAACCAAAGGCAACTTGTAACACAGTTCAAAACCTCCAAGTTTTCACAACCTTTACCAACTCATCCATATCTATCAAACCATCCTCAAATCATCAAACTGATCTCAAGCCAAACATACAACTCACAAAACCCTGCAAACTGTAACAACTATCATCAAGCCTCATCCATCAAACACAACCAAAACCAGTTCAAACCAAATTTCCAAAGTTCAAAACCAACATCCAACAATCAAAAACTCAGATACCCAACAAATCAAAAGAGAAAACCGACAAAGTTTCAAAAAACAGAACAATACCAGAATCCATCAACATCATCAAATCATCACCAAACAACATCATTCAAAGCACGGAGAAATCACAAAGTCAGAAGTACAACATCATTCAAAGCACGAAGAAATCACAAAGTCAGAAGTACAACATCATTCAAAGCTCAAGGGACAGAAAGAAGTTACCAGAAAATCTCACACAATCGTCTTCATTTCTTCCCTCCCCGTTTCCGGCCACCAAGGAGCACCATCAGCTTAGTCTCACATTCCTCTCCATTTCCCAGAAAAAATTCCCAAAGGTATGATTTCGTCACATTTCTCATAAATCGCTTCCTGCATCTCAAGGTACAATAAGCTTGATTAACATAAAAAACATGAACAAGATGAACTACAACAAAAATCGTTCAAGTATAACAAAAAAACAGAACATCACCTTTTTCATGAAAGAAATTATTTGAGCATGGTTAGGAAGAGATTGAGTGGCGCTCTGGTAACGGAAACTGGGGAGAGAAAATCAGATTGAGCGGTAATCGAGCATCTTAGGCATGAATCAGAGCTTAGGGTTTCCAGAGAGGGGCGAAGGGGATGAAGAGCGCCGCTGTAAGCACAACCCCTAATTTTGTTTACCCTAATCAAACACAATAAACTGAGTTAAGAAGAATTGGGCATGTTCATTTCCAATCCCTTTAGGCCCATATACGCGTTTTCTGGTTTCCCCACCTCCCTTTTGCCTTATCCTGTTTCAGTAAGACAACAACACCTTTGGGCCTAACACCCTTTAAATCCTTTAAGCCCATTTTCATTCATTTTAATTTAATTTGTTTTTATTTCTTTTTGTTAATAATATACTAATGATTTTTAAAACTTCATTTCATTAAATTAATTTTTTTAAAAGTAATTAGCTTTCTTTTACCATTTTCTCTTTTTATAAAAAACTCATTTTTATTAATTTTTAATAAAAACACCAAAAAGCATTAATTTAGTTAGTTTTCTTTCTTTAAACTTTTTTAATTAATAAAATACATAAAAGAATAATAATGATAAAAAATTTAATCTCTCTTTTTAGAATAGATTTTATTTCTCTCTTTTCGAGTAAATACATACATTTCATATTTTGTTGACTTTATTTCATAAATTGTCATAGCTTTATATTGAATCGCACAATAATTCGATTTGCTTGTATTATTTGATATTTGGACATTGCTATTTTTATTTGATTCATCCCCATTTGTAACAATTGTACCCCCATTCTCGAACATTCTGTAATAGTTTAGAATTTCAATTCCCGTAATTTATTGCTTTATATATACTATATAGTAACTAGGCGTGTATGGCAAGATTCAAAAATCAATCGCTAGATGACCTAATCCAAGAACAAATAACTTGAAATTAACACACTTCTCACACGCGCACCTCTATGGTAACTTCACTTGTTGCCTCGGAAATACAATCATGTCCCTCGAATATGAGACACTCTAGTAAATGACCCTACGATAAACAAAGATTGCAGTCCCTCGATGACCCTCGATGTTGCCTTTGATAAAACGATCTCGTCCCTTACAAAATTGCTAGAGTGTCTCACAAGTTGCTTTCAATGATTGTAAAATTGACCCGCGCCCGTCCCTTCACATCCAATGGTGGGGCTTCTTACCAAATCAATGGTAAAATAGCACCATTAAAAGGAAGAAGAAAAGAACAACTTAAGACCTTTCGAGTAGATAAATTCTCTCTTAGTTACTCGCTTGCTCACGACAAAAACCTTTACACCTACACCTCCATTTCAAAACACTTTCAAAATACAAAATGTTTTGCA